CGAGAGTTGTAGAGCATAATCTCACCTACGCGTGGATATAAAGAACGTCGAAAACGAAGCTCGTATGCGAAAGATATGAATTTCTGAAGTTCGAGGCACAAGTTTCGACGATGTGTCAGAATTTTCAGAGTTCACGACGTGAACACTAAAGTTCACGACGTGAACAGTCTGACTGACCATTTCAGAGCCACTTGACAGATGACGCATGCCATGAGCGAATCGGGACAAACTCACGACGTGAATTGGCAAAACTCACGACGTGAACTTCGATTTTTAGCCTATATATAGAAATTGAAGCCTTACGAGTTTGGCTGCTCATTCCTATCCTCTCTCCCACTTCTAATCTGTGTTAAGCATCCCGAGACCACCCCGAAGCCCTGATAACAACCCTAGCACACGACGCAAGTCTCGAAGTCCCGAAGTTCCCGAGGAATGTGCTTCTTTCCAGTCGAAGTACTGCCCGAGTTTAGTCTCGCCTTCTTCAATTCACCACTTCTATCAGATGAGTTCATACCCCCAATTCTATGCTTTTAAATGCTTTTTAAATGCTTTTGAACACATTACGAGGGAGAATACAAGTAAACACCCGGTTATTCCCGAGTGAAAATATGGAATATTTTGGTATACTTTGCATACAGTTATTTTAACTATCAAATGGAAGTGTTTAACATACAAAACATCTTGCTCTACTTTACCCTCACGGGATGAAACATGAGTATAAATATCATAAAGCTCTATTTATACGTTTGCATCATATTAAGGGTAACCACTTTCGTTATGACATCTTTATGCATACAAGAACATACAAATCATTTTTATGCCTTTATTATCATTGTGAAAAGGGATAATCATTTCAGAAACAAACATATTCATTTTAATACGGGACTTAATTGAGAATTCGTGAGGCATTCATCTTCAATATACCTTTTAAGGTACCACTAGAAGTCCTGTTTATAACCAGAATCTCCCGTCCGAAGAACGTGACAAGTGTGTATAGATCTATACGGGACTAATGATCCCGCGCCCTGACTGTTAGCTACAGTCCCCGGGGTGACAAGTGTCATCTCATTTCGACGCCTGAAGAACGTCGCTATAGACAAATTATGATAATACGGTTATAAAAACTCACTGGATAGACAATTATTATGGTATTACGTATTTACGTTTTTACGGGAAAAGTAACAGATACAGTTCTTTTCACATTCAAATACAAATCTTCTTATAGTTTTGTTTTACAATAAGACTATACATCATCTTTTGAGCATGTCATATTTGCTTACATGTTACGGTCTTGGTCATTTGAGACTGCATTCCACTTTTAGGAAAATATAGGATTTTCCTGGTTCAAATACATTCATTTTGTACAATAACGATTTACAACATCATTCTTTTGAGCATGTCATAGTTGCTTACAGGTTACGGTCTTGGTCATTTGAGACTGCATTTCACTTTTAGGAAAATATAGGATTTTCCTGGTTCAAATACATACAATTTATACAACAAACACTCATACTCATTTCATACACTCATAAGAAAATATTGGATTTTCTGGAAAACATACACGAACTTTTGAATGGCATACATTTTATCAAAACACTACTTATGAACTCACCAACTTTATTGTTGACACTTTTTCTTTGAAATAACTTGTATTCTCAGGAAAATGCTAAATCGGGTAGCAACTACTTTTGAAGACTAACGCGCTGGCGTTAGTAACATATTTTGAATCACCATATTGTATTTGATATTCAAACATGTAACACATACAATCATGTAAACTTTTCAAATTTATTTATATTATGGTGGTGTGTACTTTCTTTACTATTCAATTGTTATGATACTGTACATGACGTCCTCCGCCCCCAAACGTTCCCGCCGTTCAGGTTTGGGGGTGTGACATAGTGGTACAAGTCAGATAGCCACGTAGGCTTGGTAACTGGAAATCCATTAAAAATTAACGAAAGTGACTTAATTAACATGCAACTTGTAAATTTAATGACTTATTACGCAAAAAAATAAAAAATAATAAAAATAAAAATAAAATTAGTGACCAAATCGTATAAATGACAATAATTGATTGTGATATATTGACAATAATTGATTGTGATATATTGACAATAATTTATTTATAATGACTTAGAGCATCCATAATGATAATTTCAATGAATAAAACTTATCATACTCAGAAGTCCCATTGACATTCAATGAATTTTGAGATCAGTGACCATTGAACTCTTCAATGGAAAAAAAAAGTTTTTAATTCTCAAATATATATACTATAAATTAGTTTTTCTAATTTTTTATTGAACTTTATAGAGTTCAATACATTATAAGAAAAAATTGATAGAATTATCATACATACTTATAAAGCTAGTATTTTTTCTTGAATCTCATGCATTTGAAACCCCTTTTTTTAACTTCCTCAAACCACATTCATTTGAAACCCCTTTTTTAACTAATGCAACTCAAAAGTTTTCTTAATTATGATTTAACACTCAAAAGTTTTATAACTTATATTATGTTTAATTAGCAATTAGTGAAAAGTTTACTATAAAAATGCCAATCTTTTGTGTCTTTTGTGTTATATAAAATCTTACATGTAAGAAGGATTTGAAGATATTGTGATTCAAAAGTTTTCATATAGTTGAAGCATTCACGATCCAAATATGATGATTTGAAGAAATGAGTTATGTCGCATCGATGGTAATTGTAATATGATTTTTTCTTTCAACCAAAACAAATGAAGCTTTTCTATTCTTTCTTTATATTCAGTTTCTCATTTAATCTTTATATATGATTTGTGTGTATTACTCAATCTTGAATGTGACTCTCCAAACATTAATGTTTTGCTTGGAATATCTTTCTGATTCTTCTTTTTCAAGAAAAATATTTTGATTGCAGGTTAGTGAAGAATTGTCATCAAGTTTCTATGGTTGAATGGTGTTAAATGAAGAAAGAAGATTCATAAAATGGATATAAGTTTATTTGTTTGAGCAAAATTGACGAATGTTAGTTTTTTCTTTTGATTTAAATGTATGTTTATGTAACATCTTTATTTATATATTCAACCACCCAATGCTCTTATTTATTTGATTGCAGTTTTTCTATTTTGATTATGTTTATTTTCTATTATTTTTTTTGTTGGGTTATCCTACACAACATATTTAAAAGACAATATTTAAAAGATAACATAATTTTGAACATTTGATATGTAATTATGATAGACTTATCATGATATGTTCTTCATATGAAAGTAATGTATCCATATTACTACGACAAGAATTACATATGACATTTACGAAAAAATATATATTATATGTGATTTGTTTAACATGTATATGCACCTATGTATGCTATAAATTTATAATTAAATATCTTTATGTTTAATAATTGAAGGAATTAAAATGATGCATCAAAACCAATTATTTAGACGAATATAATAATAATAATAATAATAATAAATATACATTTCCAAGTACCGCATTCATTTGAAACTCACACTACAACTCAAGAATTTTATAATTTATGTATATTTATTAGTTACAACTCAAGAGTTTTTAACTTATGATTATCAATTAGTAATCACTAATAACTTTTTATTTTCCTTTCTTTTATAAGGTTGTAAAGTTTTGCTCATTAAAAACATTAATGTATTTGAAGAGATTTGTGACTTAAATATGAAGAGTTAAGATAAATGTTATAATAGACGTTTTAGTGTTTTTATGTTATTAAAAGTTATAGTGTTTATTTTTCATATTTTTTATTATTCGTTGTATATATATATATTTTTAATACAAATGTTATAATAGATGTTTTTCTATTGTTATGTTACTAAAAGTTTCAGTTCATATTTTTGTTCATACGTTTTGTTACCCGTTATATTATCATTCATTTGATATAAAATTTACACAATTTTAAACGGTTTATAAAATTATCAAATAACTGTATATGTCACAATGACTTAAAAATTAAACTATAATGTTTAATAAAACTAATAGGTTAACTATATGTTTGCTTTACTACTAACATTTTGTTTCAAAGTAGAAATATTAAATAATAATTTGGTAAAAGTTATTATTTTAACTATATAATTCTATTCTCGCGCAACGTGCGGGGATTCGCCTAGTATAGAATATAAAACAATGATGTGTCATCTTATGAAGTTCAATCATTTATAAAAGTCCTAATATTTTTTTTTGTATAAATTGTTTATCAACAACCCGTTTGAAAATTTATCATCTATAAGGGAGGAGGGAGTCGTTCCCTCCCAACCCACCGAACCCACTGCCACATGAATTTTTCTCTTTTATTTTTCTTCATCTTTCTGAACCCACAACACATGGAATCCTATCTTTTTGAACCCACTCAACCCACTCAATTAAAAAAAATACAAAACAACTAAGGTACAAGTTTTAAAACACATGGTACAAGAGTAAATAAGAAAGAGAAAGTAAAGAGAGATGATGAAGTGAGTTAGTGAAACCAATCAACCCACTCGTTGAAGCGGGAGTGGTACCGCCGATAACTCTATTGCTAATTAAGATTTTACATTTAATTGTTTTGTATTTTTTTTAATTGAGTGGGTTCAAAAAGATAGGATTTTCGTATGTTGTGGGTTGGGAAAGATGAAGGAAAAGAAGAGACAAAAATTGATGTGGCAGTGGGTTCGGTAGGTTGGGAGGGAACGACTCCCTCCTCCCTAATACGGTAAGCTATAAAAAAATCACCAGAAATATAATTTATTAATTTATAAACATAATAAAATTTAGTAATTTACACAGTGAAAAAAAAGCTTTAATCAAATAATCTGTAAAAACTTTAAACAAGAAGGCCCGTCGACTGAGATCTCCTCCGCCGTACTCCGGTGGTCTCCTGTTTTCCGGTCATCCAGCAGACATTCTCAATTTCTTTTATCACAAATTACTCAGAATTAAAGTATAACAAACCGAGCAATTGAGCCCTAAATCAGATCAACATTCTTGATTTACGGCCCTGTTGTCATGAGTTCTTCGGCAGTTTTCCGGTCTCCTGTTTTCCGGTCATCCAGCAGACATTCTCAATTTCTTTTATCACAAATTACTCAGAATTAAAGTATAACAAACCGAGCAATTGAGCCCTAAATCAGATCAACATTCTTGAGTTACGGCCCTGTTGTCATGAGTTCTTCGGCAGTAAGCGCCTGTTTGCTGAGAATTTTGATTTTTGTTCATTTTTTTTGTTCGATATCATACCTAGATCCATATAAATCTAATCATGTTCAAGTTTCTTCCGAACAATTGAAGATACAACTGTAATTTCTTGATTGATTTTTGATAATGGTAATTGGATCAGGGTCCGAACGTGTTTGCAGGATTTACAAAACTTTGTAAAGGCCTAGTGTTCGTTCTTGTTTGTGTACACGTTGCTGTTCATATCTTCCCTACATCCCTTACCTATGTTGCACTCATTCCTGCCAGGTATCGATTAACTTCCTTCCACCATAACACACTGTTTCGTTTTGACGTTTTCGTAATTTTAAATTCATGTTCATAATTTGCATGACAGGACAATTCCTTTCGGTTGGAATCTCTTAACAGCTGGTTATATTGAACAAAGCATACACGGGGTACGAACCTTTTTAGGGTTTATGTTTGTAGTTTCCATACATTTGAAGGAGAAAAACGAATCAATTGTTGACAATGTATACAGACTGATGCATTACATTTGTTTTCCAGATTCTTATTAGCACAATCGGTCTTCTTTTCATTGGAAAGCTCCTTGAACCCATCTGGGGTTCTAGAGAGTTCTTGATATTCATCTTTGTTGTCAATCTCTTGACTTCTCTGTGTCTATTCATCATGGCCATCTCCTTGTATTACATAACAATGGAGGAAAATTATCTGTAAGTTATAACGACGGAAGAAATGTATCTTATAATTGCATGAACAGATATCAACATCTAACAATTCTAATCTATTGTAGTTACATGCCTATTTCTGGATTTGGTGGGGCCCTTTCAGGTCTCTTAGTTGGTGTCAAACAGATAGTTCCTGACCAAGAATTCTCTCCATTGAGAATTAAAGCAAAGGTATGAACATACGAACGTATTCATGGTACACCAAATAAATTTCTTTCTATATATTTGATTGTGTTTTTTTGGATTATGCAGTGGTTGCCATCTATGGTGTTATTTGTGTCTATTGTTATGAGCTTCTTTACAGAAGAGCCAGCAGAAACATGCTTTCCAATTTTGATATTTGGAACGTATATTGGTTGGATCTATCTCAGATACTTTCAAAGAAAACAAGAAACTAAAATCAAGGGTGACCCTAGTGATGAATTTGCTTTTTCTACTTTCTTTCCTGAATTTTTAAGGTATTCTAATGAAGATCTACATTCTACAGTACCCTTGTTTCCAAGGTTATATGATTTCAAGGGCATTCATGTAATTTAACTTGTTGATTTGCAGACCTTTGATTGATCCCATTGCTTCAGTTTTTCATCAAATGATGTGTGGAAGGTCTGAAAGTTCCATTGAGACAAGGGGGTATACTGTAGGTAGTGCTGCATTACCTGGTTCTGACTCCATTGAGGCATCTAGGAGAAGGTAATATTATTATTTATTAAAAAAAACACTTTCCTACCTTCAACTCCTTTAAATTCCAATTCCCTCTGCAATTCCATTTCCAGGGAAAGGGGTGCAAGAGCATTGGAAGAAAGATTGGCGTCTGACAGATTTGCAGCTAAAGGAAGGACAACAGAGCCCAAAAGAGATGGAAGTGAAAAGGTTTAAAGATAAAAAAAAAAATGGGAAATTTCTCAATATGCAAGTATATTAGGTCTTAGATCATTATGATTCTTTTGTTTTTTTGGGTGGGACGAAAAGTTAAACGTTTTCTCTCATTCACATTAGTTTTAGTTGGAGTCTGTCAAACACAGTACAAACTGTTATGTTATGATGTGTCTTACTTACGCAACAAAGTGGCTATGAGATGTCTTGTTAGTTATGTCATAAATGCAATTGGCAAAATAGATGTGAAGGTTTTATCACTTTAAACATTTTTTATAGTTTGGATCAAATTACCATTTTATATTCAAGAATCGGGTTGATTCTAGAAAAAGTAAGGAGATTACCATGACTAAGAAGGATAACAAAACTTAACCACACATCAAAACGCTAAATTACAAAGAAACAAAAGTCCATTGCTATTACAAAGATGAATTACAAAGAAAGAAAAAAGAAATGAAATGAAACGTTCAGTGTTATTACAAAGATAACATCCAGGTTCTAAAGTGTTTATACCTTGAGGTACAAAGATAACGTCTATGTACAAATAAAAGAAATTATGCCTATAGGATATAGGTGCTAATGATATAAATCTTATTTTGTTAATTTAACTAAATCAAAATAAATCTATTACAATGATATCATCCTATTTTCTTCCATTTTTCCAAACGAAACTACTAATGACAAATTAAGAGCTAACCTCTTAGCTTGTTTGGTAGTCTCTTATAAACTAAATCTTCATTGGATAAAAAGCCTCTTAAAAAATACGTTCCTCTCTACGTCGTTGCCGGCGTAGTCTCTGCCTCCGGCTGCTGCAACACAGCGCCTCTGACTCGGACGCAGTGGCGGACCTTAGTGGAGCCCGGGGGGTCTCAGGCCACTGCTTCAATTCTGGCACGTAGTGTAAAAAAAAAATTTTAATCTTTTTTTTCTATTAGGTGCACCGGCTTAAAATACGAGTGCCGCTACTAATTTAGATTTTTTCAGAAAAAAAAATTTTAGTGCCACTCCTACTAAAATGTTCTGCGTCCACCACTGCTCGGACGGCTGTGCAGGTAATGTCTTCGGTCTTCATTTTTATGTAATATGTTCAGTACTAAACGTATACATATGTTCAGTGATGAACATTTACTTATGCTCCCGAAATCATCTGCATCACTAAGAGTGTTCTTTTCTTTTCCAGCCCTCAACTGATTTATGTTTTTCTGATCAAAATTGGATAGATAGCATAGAATGATGAACAATTCAAGTTGTTAACTCACGTGACAACTACCGCTTTATGATCCCAATTGAGTAACAATAAGTGAACACTATTCCGTCCAGTTGTATTTGATATTGTGCTACAAATTCACACATTGTATGAAATTAACTAAACATTGAACTTTGCTAGAAGAGAAAAGTTAAAGTAAGTTTTTCATAAAGGGTAAATATTTAATCTATAATTACAGATGTCACAAAATGCAAAATTACATTCAACCCTAAAACAGAGTAGAAACATAATAATAATGTTAAACTATATTCTTACTCATCTTCGTACTTCACCTTCTAGAACAAGATTAACTGTCGAGCTTAATCACGAAAATACAAAATATTGTTGAAATTTACTTTTCAATAAAGCTGGTGTCTTCTGTCATGCCACCATCTCCACCTACAAAAAGTCACAACAACAAAGTTATTTCTTCGAAGTAAAGAAAATATGTAATCTTTATAAACACACATGTCTTATATCTACCCTTTTGATTTTTAATGTCTTTTCAAAAGACAGATATACCCTCTTGTAAAATTGATCTTTCATCCTTTCAAACGACAAAAATAATAATAATAATAATAATAATAATAATAATAATAATAATAATAATAAATAAAAATCGATTCCAGTGGTGAGATGCATACCAAAAGAAATCCCATCTGGGTCGGATCTTGGACATTTGGTTTTCACCATATGGGTAATCTGTCTCCGACCTCCTTGTATTCCTAAATGCACAACAACCGATGCAATATATACCGATCAAAAGCAGTGTCATGATAACATTGAGAACTGAGAGCTTGCGCCAATCTCTCCTCACATTCTCTAAAACCCCGGCTTTGCATGAATCACACTCGTAGCATAATGTGCTCGGATCATTGCTCCATTTGTAGCAATCTAAGTCTTGTGTCATCATCGTCATCCCGTAGCTGCATTCACTTGGTGGCTTGCAACAACCCGACTGCATAAGTATGCCATCAAACAATATTGATATAAATAATTATCAAATGTTTTTATATAATTCCAATTAAACTTATTTGTTATTACTTGTTTGTTCGGACTTAGATTTGTAGCCTAGTGGTGGAGCTGCAGAATTTTACACAAACTGTCTACAAATTAAACCTTGGAACGTACAAATATTGTTAGTACTCTGTGATTGACTATCAAGTGATAGGGCGGTTTGGTTTGCTCACATGGTATGGTGCAGTTTGTCATTTCTTATATGTTTGTTTGTAAAGAAGTATTATATATATTATGGCTTTCAATGATTACTTTTTTTAATAAATTAATAACTTCAAATAGTTATTAGATTCGAAGTACATATCTTGAAACATAATTTAAAAGTTATTCTAATTCTTTTGTAAGGAAAGTATTGATACTTCAATAACATTTGTTTTTTAATTTAAAATGTTATTTAACTTCAAATAACATATTTTTTATCAGTCGTATAGTTTAGCAAATATATTGAGCCATATATTTGTATACTCAAAACTATATCAACAATATTATATTACTTTCCATTATAACTAAAATTATTTTACTTCAATTATGAGTATGTTAGATACCATTAACACAATCTGTATATGTCAAAATACTCATCACATATATATTTGTCTTAAATTAACTTGATCTATACGTATATATGGATCCATCATTAGGAGCACCAACCATGTAGACAACATGATGTCTCATCTTTGATCCTTGATGTTGGTAACTTTTAAAAACGAGAATTTCTTCATTTTTTTTTTTTGAAACGAGAATTTTCTTCATTTGAATATACTTAGAAGGTAAGCTTAATTTCTTAAACTTAATGGGTCAAAGATTGAACACTGTAATTATATAACAGTAAATTAAAAGAAATCCGATAGAATGAGAGAGTACCTGAATAGGAGACATATCCTTCGTCAAATAATCAACAGGAGACCACATGACAATATCCCTACAAGTCTTTGACCCCAAAATACAACTTCTGATTGTCATCCAATACTTTGGATCCTCGACTCTTTTCCTAAGCCATGGCGAATAATCCTCCAAGTGATACTCGTTGTATGCCCTGCCGGAAACATTCATTCCACCGCCTGCTCCTGTCACGATGAACCCAAAGATGGGTGAAGGCCAGTAAAGCTGCGATCAGGAGCAGCATCACCACCAGGTAGACCCAAAGTGCCCAGGCCAGGTGAAAGCATGCACCTATGAAACCGGTCAAAGATACGATCAAGACTACAAATCCGATGACCAGAAGTGGTGTTTGGAGGAAGCTTTCGCAGGTGGCGCTGCTTCTTGCTAGCCATAAGGCGCCACCTATTATCGGTATTGAAGCTAAGAGTGTGAATAGGTTCAACAGACCTATTACAGTGTTACTAAACCTTGACATGTTTCAGTTTTCTTGATATGCTAATGCTCTTTATTGCCAACTCTTTGTCTCTCTCCCCTTCTCTCTCTTACATATATATTAGCCCCCTCTCTCTCTCACACACATATATGAATATGTAAATCCTTGGCTTTTCTCTCTAAAACGAGGGACAGTAAAGGTGGATTCTTTGTGTTGTTGTAAAAGGAGTGATGAACTCAAAGTTTATCCATACTTTTGGTTCATTACTTTCCACATGCACAAGGGATGGAGGAATTTCGAGAAATATAAGTTTGCAAATGACCAAATTGCACTTCTTAACTGACTTTGTTTTCATTTTTCTTATAGGCATAATAACAAATATGCTAATTATACAACTTTTTGATAGATTCATAAACCTAAAGCCTGTAAAAATATGATAGGGAGAACTTAAGCATGATAAATTTCTTTCTTTGAACGTTATAAAATTGTATAATATGTATACCATTTTTATACACTTAAAAATGTATCACTAGAAAATGTTAGTGTATCAAACATCGGTGCAACAGATTCCCTTATGTGTTTATATATGTTAGGAGTTTTCATCTCTTCATAATTAATGGTTTTTTTGAAGAGTTAATATAAGAAATATAAAATTGTATAAACTTTATGTATACCATTGTTATACACTTAAAAATATGATCACTAGAAAATGTTGGGGTATCAAACATATCGGTGCAACGGGTTCCCTTATGTTTTTATATATGTTGGAGTTTTCATCTCTTTATAATTAACGGTTTTTTGAGAGTTAATATTTGAATCTACATATATCTTAAGTGGTATCATAGTCCTTGTTTGCATCCATGTGGCTTATAACACAACCTTCTCTGACCTTATCGAGTAACCGTCTCTGAGGGAAGTATTAATGTATCCTATATCGGTGTGACACAATCTCTTATGTCTTTATATATGTTAGGAGTCTTATATCTTTCCATAATGACTCTTTTTAATGTTAATATGAGACTTCACGTATATCTTATAAAAAAGGCAGATTTAACATATGAAAAACATTTGTCAGAAATTTAAAAATTATCGATGGAACAATAAAAATATTACCTTAATTTACAAATGGAATAGTGAAAGAATTGAATTTTCCGTATTCCCTAGGAAAAATGCTAGAATACTATATATATATATATATATATATAATATATATATATATATATATATATATATACTAGCCGTTTACCCACGCTAAGCGACGGGTGCGAATAATTTTTTTCGAAAATTATTTTCTAGAGTTGATTAGTGTTTTTGCGCAAATAGTTACTATAAAAAACAATAAATTATAATTTTTTAGTCTAAGCTATTAAAAAATACAAAAAAAATTATATAAATTACATATCAAATAAAATGTAAGTAGTAGGTCTTGAAGATGCTCCAATCTATTTCAATAGCTCCTTCACCAAATTTGATTTTGTAGATGACTGCTCAAAGAATCAAAAACCTAAAAATAAATGGGAAGCATGGTTTTTGTCATGTTGGGCTGATATATTATTGAAAGAAAAGTCTGGGATTCAATTTTTAATCAAAACCAGTTAACTTACAATAACTGTAACATCACATTGCCGTATGTATGGTAAATCATAAACATATAATTTTCCCAAAAACACGCACTTTATCAGACGGATATTTATTTTTTGGTGAATAGTTTGCTTTCGTCGATTAACTATATGGGTGGTGAATTATACCCCGTGAATGGTTTTCAGAAAATTCTTCTTGTGCAAGAGTAAGATCCCACTTTTCCGACTATCACCAACTAAACTTCTTAATAAATTTCTCAAACTGTGATTTCGGACTTCGGTCTAACTGTAAAACCCTATTTTTACTACTTCCGTAAATCGTTATATTAAACAATTACTATTATAAAATACACAGTAGATATATTTTACTTTTGAGCCAAGATAATCATCATAAACATGTCGAAAACATCGATATGATTTTCGTAGATATATAAAACCCTTAAATCTGACTTCGTATGAAGAAATTATGTTTTCGAAGTTTCCCGATTAAACCGATACAACTCTGTGTATCGTAAAAAGTGAATTTTAGATAGATTGCTTATTAGCGTAAGTGTAAACATAAGAAAATTAGATAGGAACGTATTATTCAAATATTTGATGGTGGATAGACAATTATTGTGCGGACGTCTGGACAATGTTATTTTACGATAATTACTAAGAGAATAGGTTGTTTAGTAATGTGTATACGTTTAACCTCACACAACAATCGTCATTTTCTTGCATTCTCACTAATTCTTATTCATTTTTGTTCTCACGTATCGTTTTTCACTCATTTTCAATCTTACAGAATACGACTCAATAAACCTTCTGACAGAATGAGAATAATAATAAAAGTCTATAATAACCTTATAGCCGATTTAATTAGTGAGAATATGTGATAATGACAATAATTATGTAAGATTGAACGTATTTACATTATCAAACAACATATTTTCTTTGTCATTCTCACAGAATAACACTGTCCATACGTCCGCACAATAGATGTTAATCCACATTTGAACCTAACTCTCTCTCTCTCTCTCTCTCTCTCTCTCTCTATATATATATATATATATATATATATATATATATATATATATATATATATATATATATATATATATATATATATATATATATATATATATATATATATATCAGATGGAACCTACGGGTCATTATGTGGCAAATATGTATTCTATTTTGGTATCACCATTACCGTCGATCCAAGGCTTTCAAATCAATGAAAACACCGTTCTAACACATCCAAATGTAACACAAGATGCCTCGGAGCCACCAGAAACATCATCAACCTCACATGAACCAGTTTCTCTTATGCAGTCATCACCAGCAGCTCCTGATACTAATTCCATCCCAGTAGATGCTCCATCAGGTGCTGTTACGCGTGGTCAATTGGGCAAAGCATTTCCTAAACAGTTCAATGATGGCACTTTTCTGTACAATCCATACAGGAGGACATTTTTCACTACTCCCACTTCTCATAAGCGAGCTCTTCCTGATCAAGCTTGGTACGAAGCAATGAAAATAGAATATGATGCTCTTTATGCAAACAACACATGGGTTCTTGTTCCCAGACCATCTGGTGTCAATATAGTTGTCTGTAAATAGATTTTTAAAGTTAAACAACATTCAAACTGTAACGCTCCGATTCTCGAATATCAATTTATGGTGATAAATTCTCATGGATTCAAGGTCTACTCGACGAGTTGGTTGCCTGGCTCGTCGAGTAGCAGCGGGTTAGGCCGCGCACCTAAGTGACCTACTCGCCGAGTCCAAGAAGGGACTCGACGAGTAGGAGCTGGAGGATGAAACCCTAATTTCTAGGGTTTTTCACCCTATTTAAAGGATCATTTTCCCCTTAGCCTCCCTTTACTGCCTCTTGAGAGTCCAGAAACCCTAACTCGTGTGTGTGCTCCATATTAGTGTACATTTCAAACTTGGAAAGAAGATTTTGTTGCTAGAAGCTTGAAGATCAAGAAGTTGAAGGCAAGAACATTTGGGGATCTGAAGTCTACCTCAGTTTAGCATCATTTGAAGGTAACAAGTTGTTACCTTGACCTTGTTCTTTCTAGATCTCTTCATGTTGAAAATTAGGGCTTCTATAGCATGGGTGATAACCATTTTTAGGAATGGGCTAGGATCTGAAGTCGCAACTTCAGATCTGAGCTCATCTTGGACCCTAGAGCCATAAAGTCTCCAGCTTTAGCAAGCATGAACCCTCCATGTTGAGATAAACTCCATTGTAAGCTTGGGATTGACATTCTAAGCCTATAGAGCCTTGCATGCACGTAAAGGTTGCAACTTTACGTGATAAACATGCCTTTGGAAGTTGGATCTGTAGTATGGAAACTTAAAATGGCCTAAAAAGCATCTGTATGGTTGAAGGATTGACGGGACTCGTCGAGTCGCAAGGTCGACTCGGCGAGTCATATGAAGATGGTCATGTACTCGACGAGTTGGATGAACAACTCGGCGAGTCCGTTGAAGATTGCCTTGGGCTCGGCGAGTCGGTCGAATGACTCGGCGAGTCTGCTAGGGTTTTTCCCCAGCCCTTGGACACGCATGAACTCGGCGAGTTGCAGGGAAATTCAACGAGTCAACCAAGGATTTCATGAATTCTCGAGTTCAGGAAGGACTCAACGAGTCGGTAAAGTGCACTTGACGAGTCGGATCAACATGGACTGTTGACCTTGACTGTTGGCTTTGGCTTTGACCAAGGGTTGACCAGTTGACCTCTGGGGATATTTTGGTAATTTGGAAATTTATGAAAAAGGGATTTATGGTAACGGTAGGTGGTGGAGTTCGTGTTGGTGATTCGATAGTTTAGCCTATCACTCCAGTGCGACATTTGGAAGGTGAGTTATCCTCACTATATCAACAGGGTCTAAGGCACCAAGGCTGACCCTTTATCGGATTTGTATCCGGGTATTTGTTGATATGTTTATTGATCTGCTAGATCTGCATCCTGGTAGTTAGGATGGTATTATGTTAGTGACCTGGTTTAGGTCGGTATCCTGGTATATAGGATGATGTTATGTTAGTGACCGGTTAGGTCGGTATCCTGGTTATAGGATGGTTGCTATGCTAGTGATCTGTTAGATCGGTATGATTATCTGTTATATACATGCTAGCGAATGATATTTATGTGCACATGATTGTTTTATTGGTATGGGAGAAGGGGTTGAGGCAGGTCCTGCTGTGTGCAGTAGGCCAAGATACCCTGGGCGAACCGGGTAGACTGCAGGCCCGGGACGGGCAAATCTAGTCAGGCCGAAGGCCCGACGAGTGGTTTGGATAGGCTGAAGGTCCCGAGAGCGCAGTCTAGACGTGCCGAGGCTCGGAGAGTGGACCAGATAGACTGAAGGCCCGACGCGGGTGGTCCAGTCAGACTGTAGACTTAGAGAGTGGACCAGGTGGACTGAAGGCCCGGTGCGGGCGTACCAGTCACACTGTAGACTCGAG